TCATATGATACATGTCTTTCTCTGATTGACTTATTTCACTCAGCATAATACTGAGGGAGCACTCTTTTGGGCCTTTTGTCCTCTTTTTTCCCCTATCAGGATACAATGCAGTCAGTTATTCCTTTCTTGCTAAAAATTCTCCCATTTCAACTTTTTCCACCCAGTTGCTCCTGAGTCATGATGAACACAGGTTTTGATGTGCAAACACTTCAGTGGCACTTATACATAGTCCTGGGTGTTGTCCACATTCTTACTTGCATGGTTGGTATGGAGTTTAATTCTTAGAAGTCAACACTCCTTCTATTTCTATATGCTGGGGGGAGTACCTCACTCTTGCCCATGTATCTCCAAGAGTAGATTGAGGAGGTGCCGAAGTGGGCATGATGAAGCTTGACTAGGGTGTGGCAGGTGCAAGATATGAAGAGGAAATATATTGGCTGGACTGGAGAAAACTATAAAGATAGGGGATGACTGAGCATGTTACCATCAACAGACAGGAGTCAGTAGGGATGGGAAATACGAAGATTTGCAAGAGGGCATAATTAGGAGAGCAGAAGGGGATGTGGTCCAGCACAAAGTTGGGATTAATAGAGAACCATGAGAAACATCAACATTTAAGAGGTGGGTAGGGCAAGAGGAGCTCACAAAAGAAACTGAAGAGTAGTGACCAGGGAGGCAGGCCAGAAACTAGGAGAGAGCAATAAGAGACCACAGAAGAGAGGGTTTCTTTCAAGAAGGAGAAGGTAGTCAAGGATGTCACATGTTGCTCAGAGAGATAGTAAATTTGGATTAAAATTTATTGTTTGAACTTAGCAAAGAGAAGGTAACGTTAATAATGTAGGTGGAATGGAAAGAATGGAAATGAGTAAAAGAGTAAAAGAGAATAAGAAGTCAGGTGTTAGTACAGGAATATTTCAGAGTTTGTCCATGAAGGTGAAGGGGACAAGATAGTGGGAACTGGAGGGGGATGTGGTCCAGGCAAGTTATTTTTAACAGAGGACTTTGAGTCAATTTAAATGATTATGGGGAAGGTTTAGTAAAGGAGATGATGATACAGAAGACAGAAGGCTAGTCTGAAACGAGTGAAGTTCCTGAAAAATAAGGAGGTGAGACAACTCTTAGGATGGGAGACACTTGACTCCTTTAGCTGGTGCTAAGGGAGAAAGGATGGAAGTGGAAGTCATGCTTAATGCATGGAATTATGAAGGAAAAGGGTGGGAGTCCATTAATAAGGAGTACTAGAAAAGGTAGGATTCTAGGAGCAGTTGACTGCAGACTGTGGAGTGAGAGATACTGCCTGAACTATGGTTTAACTTGGAGTTGAGTTGAGGAATATGTTATTTTTATGGCACTCTAAATATGTGTGTACAACAGCATATTGAGAAAATCTAGCTTTTCCCACCAGTAACTTCACTCTCAAACTCTCGTCTCCTTAACCCTCAGTATGGAAAGGGAGGCCCCATCATTGCTCTGCAGGTTGAGAATGAATATGGTTCATATCATCAGGATAGAAGATACATGTCATATATTAAAAAGGTAAGTGCTCCTTTAATTTTCCTCCATATTGGGCGCCTGGGTGGCTCAGTTGGTTAAGCGACTGCCTTCAGCTCAGGTCATGATCCCAGGGTCCTGGGATCGAGTCCCACATCGGGCTCCCTGCTCGGCGGGAAGCCTGCTTCTCCCTCTCCCACTCCCCCTGCTTGTGTTCCCTCTCTCGCTATCTCTCTCTCTCTCTGTCAAATAAATAAATAAAATCTTTAAAAAAAAAAATTTTTTTTCCTCCATATTTACATATTTCTTTTCTCACTTTGTTAGTTTGTGGAGCAAACATATCCCGATTAGCTATAGCTTGCATGATACCATGGGATATAAAGATGAATAAGGTCCAGTTTAATTTTTTCATGCATTTGCATCCTAGAGTGGAGACAAGAAACTACCTACACAACTCTCATGTAAGGCAAAGAGTGATGTTAAAATATTTTTCCTTTCCGTGAACCTCACAGCTCTCTTTTGGTTGGTGTTTGTATAATACATACTTCTCTATCCTCTTAGTTTCAATTATTCTGGATTCATATGCTTAAGGAACATACCTTGTAAGCAGTATATAATTAAAATTTGTTTTTGTTAATTCATTATGAAAATTCTTGTTTTTTAAATGAAGTATTTGGCTTATTTACATTTAATATGATTACTGACAGTTGCATTTAAATCTACCATCCTGTTAACTTTCTTTCTATTTGTCCTACCTGTCCTATGGTCCTTTCTCTCTCTCTTTTTTTTTTTTATTCTTTTGGATTGACTATTTTTTTATTATTCCATTTTTTCCTGTATTAGCTTATTAAACATTTTTCACTTTTCTTTTAGTATTGGCCATAGAGACTACTGTGCATCCTAGAATTATTAATGTCTAATATAAATTAGTGTGCTTGCCAGTTCCAAGGCAAAGAAAGCACCTGAGAACAGTTTAATTGCATTTTCCTCCTTTCTTTCCTCAGTACTGTTGTTATTTCTTTTAATGTTAAATATATTTTAGACACACAAGAACTTTATTATTATATGGAGTCATTTAGAGTTATGTACATAATTTACTTTTTGTTGCTCTTCTCTCCTCTCTGCATCTCTGAGCTTTATCTCTCTTATCATTTCCTCTGCCTAAAGAACACCTATTTGTATTTTCTTTGTTGCAGGTATGCTATTAACAAATTCTCTCACCTTTTGTTTGCCTGAAAATGTGCCTAGCTCATCATCATTTTGAAGGATATTTGTACTGTATGTAGAATTCTAGATTGGCAATTATTTTCTTTGATGATTCTCTGGCGTACATTGTTTTTATTAAGAAGTTAGGTATTGATAAAATTATTGTTCCTTTGAAGGTAAAATGTATTTTTCTTCTGGCTTCTTTTAAGATTTATTTTTTTGTTTTCCCTCAGCTTTCCTAAGATTTGGCTAGGTGTGGTTTTTATTTTTATTCTGCTTACATGTGTTTGTACCCTTCATTATGTGGCTTGAAGTCTTTAATTGGTTTTGGGAAATTTTCAGCAACTCTCAGCTCCATTTTTTTTCTCTCTTCTCCTCTAGGACTTCTGTTATATAAAACTAGATATTTTCATCATATCTATTTTACTCTTTTCTGGATGATTTTTCCTTTTTTTTTTTTTAAAGATTTTATTTATTTATTTGACAGAGAGAGAGGGAGACAGCAAGAGAGGGAACACAAGCAGGGGGAGTGGGAGAGGGAGAAGCAGACCTCCCTCAGAGCAGGGAGCCCGATGCGGGGCTTGATCCCGGAACCCTGGGATCATGACCTGAGCTGAAGGCAGATACTCAACGACTGAGCCACCCAGGCGCCCTCTGGATGATTTTTTCTGAGATATCTTGTAATTTATGAATTTTCTCTTCAGCTTTGCCTAATTTGATGTCAAACCTAGTTCTCAATTTCAGATATATGATTTTTAGCTCTAGAATTTTCATTTGATTCTTTTCTGGTTTCCTTTTTTTTGGCCAAAATTTTCCACTTTTAAAAAACTCCTTGAACATATTAATTATAATTATTTCAAAGCAATGTTTAAGAAACCTAATGTCTAATTTCCTATGTATCTGTTCTGTTGTCTGTTTTTCTCATGGTTTCAGTAAAGTAATATCTTTTGGTATGCCTAGTAATTTTTCAATCCAATTTATTTATGAAAACATGACTGAAATCATTTGAAGCTATTCAGATGGATTTATTTTTGCTTCCAGAAGGTAATTGAAATGATTTGGAGCTGGGCTTTAATTCTTATGAGAGTAAGTCTAATTCTTGTTCACCTCTCCTAAGGGATAGCCCTTTGGGTTCCAGCTAAAAGCCTAGAATTGTTATGGCCCCTCCTCTGTTTTGGCTGTCTATGAACTACAGTTTCTTTCCCCACATCTCATAAATTGCTGGGAAATCTACTCAGCTTTTCAGCCTCTCAACTGATGCTTGGGGAATCAATGTCTCAAGGAAAAAGTATAACACATGCTGGATTCACCTCTCTAGGTCGCCTGCCTCTCTGAAAACTTGACTCCTCAAGTCCTGCCTCGATATAGATCTAGTATCTTCAAATAAGTTAATTTTTTTGTCCAGTTTATCTAGTTGTTATTAGCAGGATGTTTAGTCTGAATCAAAATAGCCCACAGTCCCTAGAAGGGGAGCCTATTGCTATCCCTATGAGTAGTGGTCCATGAATCCTGGTTAACACCCTTTTCATTATCAAGTGTTCTAGTTTAGATGAAAAGTTATATGGCAACTTACCAACCGGCCATATTGCTTGCTCGGGCTAAAGATGTGAAACATTGCATCTATATAGGACCTATGGTAGTGGAAGGGTTGACTATAATTAATATATGACACGCTGTCTCCTCTCACTCATTCTGTTCACCTTTCAGCCTTCCCTGTTTTTCAGAAGAGTTCAGAAAAAGCAAACCACCTTCTCATAATCAACAAGGATAATTGCAGGAATAGTTTCGCCTTCAGGATATTGTGATCCATCGGCCCAGGAAAGGCATACCTTTGGCTTTTCTCAGTATTCATGGCCATAGTCTTAATATTTGACCTTTCAAGTAAATAAGTTTCTTAGCCTCTTCTCTCTCTCTTTGATTTAGACTCTCTTGGATTTATTTCTAAAGTAGAGACATTAAAGTCGCATGCAGCAAGTGTGACTATAGATGGACTAAACAAAAATTTACTTGCACTTGCCATTGACCAAAGGAAAACCAGCAGTTGTGTGTGTGTTTCTTTTTTTTTAAAGATTTTATTTATTTATTTGAGAGAGAGAGAATGAGAGTCAGAGAGCACGAGAGGGAAGAGGGCAGAGGGAGAAGCAGACCCCCTGCTGAGCAGGGAGCCCGATGTGGGACTCGATCCCGGGACTCCAGGATCATGACCTGAGCCGAAGGCAGTCGCTTAACCAACTGAGCCACCCAGGCGCCCTGTGTGTGTGTTTCTTAATCCATCCTGTGAGTTGGGTCCACAGCATGTGGTTAATTTGAGCATGAGTGTGGAAGAGGAGGTTTGTCTTAAGCTCTCTGATGCACTAGACAAAATCTGGGATTCAGGTCCTTAGGGGAAAGCACTGTATTAAGGTGAATGAAAATAGTCCCACTGCCTCTTCCTTTAGGTCTGATATTTTAATTATCAGTTTGGTCTTTCTGAATGTGGCTGAGGCAGGGATGATTTTTTTGTTCTAATTTACTAACTTACAAGTAGTTGGTTGAAGGAATTAGAACTTTTTCTCCATTCCTCAGCTTCATTGCAGTATTTTTATCACCATCATTTTTTTCTAGAGAGAAGCCATTCCATGGGATCAGGGACAGTTCATTTACCTTACCAAATTTCTCCACAGGCCCTGATCACAAGAGGGATCAAGGTGTTACTTATGACTGCTGATAATGGAGATGAACTGAAAAGAGGCCACTTAAAACGGGGTACAATTTCTCTTTATTCTTTTTCCTGTACTAGTGAAGTCTGAAACAGAATAGCAGTCCTTCTGATGCTTTATTTCTCCCACTTCCCATGGATGCTTTATTTCTTTTTAAAGATTTTATTTATTTGAGAGAAAGAGCATGAGAGCATGCAGCCCACGAGTGGGGGGAGGGGCAAAAGAAGAGGGGGAGGGAGAAGCAGACTCCCCACTGAGCACGGAGCCTGACTGAGGGGCCTGATCCCCAGGACCCCGAGATCACAACCTGAGCTGAAGTCAGATGCTTAACCGACTGAGCCACCCAGGTGCCCCGAGGCCCCATAGTTTTTAGGAAAAAGTGGTGGGCTGAGTTAAGGAACCATTCCTTACCTTGCTACCCCACCAGCTGTTACCTTCAGAGCACCAACAATGCAGAACACTTGCTCCATCCTGTTCGGTCCATAGTGGCAAGAGTGGGGCCTGGCTGGGACCAGAGTAAAGACTATCTTTGTCATTGCCAAATGGCTATGACCTAACAACAGGAAGTAGAGGCAGTGTCAGAGAAATAGTACTGTCATGGACCAAGCCCCAGGAGCTCAGGGGCTAGAGAAGTTTGGGGAATCAACGTAGTAGGGAAACATGGAATAGAATTATAAGGAGGAAATATGGATTGATACTTAGGAAAATGGAAAAAGGCGATGTGCAGACAAATAGAACCAGAGAACAGTGCTATTTGCAGTTCTTTCACCCAAATAGCCTGTCAGGCATGTTCTCTGCTGGCCTTCCTCCCATGTTTTGGCATCCTTCGTCTTGTAGGAGAGGCAGGATAGTGTTCTGAATTAGAAGTCAGGAGATCTGTAGTCAAGTTTTAGGTCTTAGGCTATTCATCTCTCTGGGCTGAGTTTCTTCATTTGGCTTTTATTTATTCATCAGCATAATATGATTTATTTTAACTGCCCTTATTGTCTGGGTCATTCATTGTAAATGCTACATGAAGAGATGTATGTGAAAGCACTTTATATGGAGCAGGTATGGACTCACATGCAGGATCATATCTTTATTATTCACCACAATCAATAAAGTGTTAATGACAACTACCTGTGAGGTGTATGTGCAGAAGGTGTGGAGGCCCAGGTCTTCATCCTGTGTCCAGGAGCATGTTCTCTCTCTGCTCAACAGTGCTTGTAGGAGAACCTTATAAACAGTGTCTCCTTTTCCTCCACAGTACTTTCCACTGTCCACATGAAACATATAAAGAAAGAAACTTACGATACGCTCTTATCAATTCAGGTAAGGACATTTCAGAGATGGGAGATGTTTTGATTCTTGCTCACACTAGAACTCATTTTGGGGGGAGAGTCTCAGCAGCGATTAATTCAGTTAAAACCTGGATCTGTTATGCCCTTGAAATGCCTGCTCTAGGTGGTTTGGGGTATAATTAAATCAAGTTCAAATGCTTACAGTGCCTGGCCCATAGCCCCTTAGAAGGATACAGAATGAGAAACTTAGCATACTAGCTAGCAGGGCAGCATCAGTAGGAACCCTCCTATCAGTCCAGGGGCTATACCCTACCTCAAGTGACAGCTCAGGTTTTAGGGAATGGGAACCATCCTTGCAGAGAAGCCTCAGTCTCAGTGGAGGAACCAACCAGTATCCTTTATCACAGCTCTATAGGTATAGATTCCAGGTCTGCTAAAGGGAACTCTTGGTTTCAAGATACACTGCATGCAGGAATCTAGGTCTACACTAGGAATTTATATATCATTCATAGTCCTCCAAACCAGATATAATTTGCTAATCAGAGGTAATTTTAATCATAACATGGTTATGATAACATGGATAACATTCTGCCTTTATCTGGTTTTCAGATAGACCTGGTTTTGCATGGGCACAGAGAGAGGTTTTTGTTAGCCCTTTACTCATGACCCCATTCACCTGTAACTATTTATGATCCAGTGAGAAAGACAAGGAATGTACATAAACACAAGATAGGAAGTGCTAATTGCAATAAAACTATTAATGGGTAACCAGAGATCAGAGGGTGGCATAGATTTCTACCACCAGCTGAGATCCATGGTTACATGTTTCATTTTGCACAGGACTGAGCTATGTGATATTAGCAGCAAAAGAAGAATATGTTAATTACCATAAATGTAAAATAATGCCTAGAATTCTGAAAACTGTTAAATCCCTGATTCTCCTCCCCTATGGTCTGAGACAGCACTAAGATTTAGAGAAGAGTACAAAGGGAGATGTATCCAGCCTTATAACATCTGGGCCAACATACAGGTAGCTCAGGGATGTGCAGGGATTAGGGTGAGTGCATTCCAAGAGAATATGAAGAGGGACTATAATTCCCAGAGCAAAGTAAACACTCAGATAGATGCTAACATTATGATAATAGAGGAAGAATGGGAGGGGGGGACAATAAAACCAGTGGAATCCAGAGTTAAAAGTGATACGCTGTCTATAATTAGCAAAGTTCTGAAAATGAGGTCATTTGTTTATTTATTGAGTCAGTCAGTAAATGTTTTTAGCATCTACTGTGTACCGGTTAGGTACTTTTCAAGGCATTGTGTATAAAGCAGTGAATGAAATCTATAAAAGCAGAACTTCTGGAGCTTATAATTTAGTGGTAAGAGACAGACAATAAACAAATAAAGGCAAATATAGAGAATGAGGTAGTAAAAAGAGCTAGAAAGACATATGATAATATTTATATACACAGCTTTTAGTTTATGTAATCCTCCCATCTTTTCATGTTTATTTCTTATATTACCATGTTAAAAGCTATTAATCTTATTCTCATTTAGCAGATGAGGAAATCATGACTTAGGTTAAATTACTGATTTTAGATCACAGGTGGATCTGTCCACAGGTGAATAATCCGATCATATAATAGAATAACCCAGGCTTAAATTTAAACCTTCTGCTTCCAAATCTCGTGCTCTTCTCACTTTCTTATATCATTAACCATTTAAACTCCTTCTGTAGTGAGAGAATGATTTGATACAATATGGGAGCAATCACAGGACTTAAATAGTGAAAATGAGTACCCATAGCTTTAGAAAGTTCATTGTAATTTGTTTCTAGTGCATTTCTTATGTGATAAAGTGAACATGAGAGAAACACAATTCTTAGGACAGATGTTGTAACTGAATATGGGGAGAAAACAGAGCTTTTGAGTCCCTATTTTGTTTCTGTGTTCTCTATCAGAGATTCCTCTCCGAACTGGACAAGGTAGAACTACATAGTTAAGGGGGAGCTAAAGCTGGAAGTGGATGAGAAGTTAGATGTTTCAAATTTAGATCAGAACGAGCACATTATTTTGAGTGGGTACTTTGTGTCAGATCCTGTGCTAGGCTCTGGATATATACTGGTGATGAAAAAGATATCTTCTTTGTCCTTGTGGAGGCTATTTCCAGGATTGTTCAATGAGTATGGGGGCTCTGTTGTTGGCTTTGTTCTGACTGATCCTCTTCTGAGGGAAGATACAGAAGCTGTGCTTGTCAAAGGTCTAGATGAGACAGTGCTGGAAGGGAGTGCTCATCCACCAAATGATGGGATCTTTTTTTTTTTTTTTT